AGAGTCGGACACGACTGAGCGACTTCACTTTCACTTTTCACTTTCATGCCCTGGAGAGAACCCCAGGGATGGGAGCCTGGTGGGCTGCTGTCTATGGGGTCACACAGAATTGGACACGACTGACGTTACTTAGCAGCAGCAGCAACAGCATAGTCACCAACTCACTAAGGCTGATTTAGCTATTGATCATGCTAAACAGAGATCAATGGCAAGTGCCAGTATATGACCATTCTTGAAGAGAATCGACAAGTAACTTGGGGACAAGTTGACTACAGTGAGTCATTTCAGACTTGCATGGGGCAATGATGCCTCTCAATTGCAATCAGCACATTATGGATATGGGTTAGCCTTTATTTTCTGGAGGATATCAGACAACACCACTAGTCAAGAACACTGAGACAGGATTATCTATAACTTGAAATGGACCAAGAGATCCACTTGTGGCCAAAGGAGTTCAACATTGGGCACATGCCTCCGATGTTATTACATACCACATCATCGTAAAATGATGAAATGGTGTGTTGAAAGCACAACTAAAGTTTCAGCTTGTAGATGATACCTTGAGAGGATGGGGTGTTACCCATCAGGAAACATTATATATCCTAAGTCAATGACCATTATAAAGGAGATATATAGGTTTGGGAACTAAGGAGTAGGAATAAGTGTCATCACTCCCAGTGATCCACTGGAGGAATTTGTACTTTTATCCTCATAATTCAGGGTTCTACAAGTTTAGTTCTTGGCTCCCAGATTGCGCCTTCACCAGAGGACAACAAATTAAATTTTAATTAAATTTTAATTCATGGCTAGTGCCCAGTCACTTTTGGCACCAAATCACAAATCTCCTTCTTGACAGGGGAAATTGACCCTAATAACTGGGAGAAGATAAAGGCACTGCATACAATGGGGACAGGCAAGAATAGGTTTGATGTCTAGGTGACCCACTTAGGTATCCCTTGGAAATGACAAACAAGTCCTCCAGCTCGTGGCTTGAGATGAACAAGGTATCCAGATCTCAGACCCTTCAAGGACGAGGCATAGTCACTCAACCAAGTAAGCCACCTATACCAGGAGAGATACTAGCTGAGAGTGAGAGGAAATCCAGAACTGAAGTGCAACATAGACATGATGTTTATCAGTTAAGGTGCTAAGACCAGCTCCAGTGGGAGGTGCTAGAGAGTGTTTCACTGATCTTTTAAGTTTTCCTCAGGAAAAGAAACTCAACATAGGTGAATTGCTCCAGATTCTATTTATCTGAAGTAAATGAGCCTGAACAAAGTGAGGAATGAACTATGGAGGATGCTGTGGTGTGTTACCAAGGCCTTCCACATCCCTACCTCTTTGACCCTGAAGCTCTTGTTTCTCCAACTGCTGAATTGTTGGAGGCTGACCACTTCAATTGAGTCCTTCTCCAGACACACCCAAGTTCATATCCCTTGCAAGTTCATGCTCACATCTAGTAACTGATAAATGCAACAGTATAAATGCCTAGCCTCCTTGCCCTGATTTGTGACAATTTGGAAAATCCACCCCAACTCCAAAACTCCTCACTTGTACAGCTGAGGACCTGATGGTGGCTGCAATGACCCTAAGAACACTCCCCAATCAACCCCCTACATGCTAATCTCTGTCTCAGAGATTGCTTCCCAGAAAAACTCACCACTGACAGTGTGTTTTGTTATACATTTTTTTTTTTTTGCTTTTCCTTTAGTTACTATTTCTTAGTATGAACAAAATTTTCAGCACTTTCCTTTACAGTTTCTGGTGTTTTATGTCATGCTTATAAAGGCCTTTCCCATCCCAAGAAAACATATTCACCCATATTATCTTAGGATTTTCTTTAAAAGTTTTAAAATGTTTGATTCATCTGTGATGTTGGTGTAAAGAAAGAGACGGTGACCCAGTTTTATTTATTTTTAAATGAGTAGCTAGTTCTCCTGACACTAATTTTTAAATCTCTCTTTCCCTCAAACTTTTCTAAGATGTAATGTGCTTTTATCCTTTTTCCAGTTTCTAGGTTTCCATGCTTAACTCATTTATCTTCCATTGTGCTCAGTAATCGAAATGTTTAAATCATGAATTTTTCTCCGAATATGGTGCTGGCTGCATCCCATGTGTTTTTAACATATGGAGTTTTTTCTTCATTAATTTGATTTTTTGATATTATGCACCCAATAATGGTTTTAATTTCTTCATTTTTAAAGAACTGTTTACATGAGCTTCTTAAAATGTACTAAAGGTAGGAATTTTGTTTTTAGCTTTACTGTAGTGTGTTGAAGAAATCAGGTTTGCACTATCTGTTTCAAAATGCATTTAAATATGAGTGTTCACAAATTTGCATGTCCTCATTGCTCAGGAGCCAGGCTTTCTCTCCTCCCATTCCTGCATCTAATATAACTAAAAGTGAGCAACTATTTTCCTTGTTACTTGTTATTATTAATTGTAATGTGTCATGGGTTAGGACATCAGAAAATATACAGTAAAGGCATGTAGATTTCTTACAGGGAATGTGTGCATCATTTCAAGAACTTTATGGCAAAACCGTTGGCTGTTCAGATGCCATTTTGTCTCCTGCTCGGTTCTTATTATCCTTTCTAACTTTCCTTAGAGCTGGATGTGTCAAAGGATGCCAGGGCCAACACTTCCCAATATACCTTTAGAAAGTTCATTTGAAGGGTAATCAACCAAGATCTCCAGGCTTGTTCTAAGCCAAGACAGGGTATTGACTTCATCCCACTCCACTATTGACTGGTTGTGTGATAGTTGTCTCAGCATCCCCATCTTTAAATGGGGAGTGTTCTGAGTCTGATGATCTTTAGGAAGCTAACTAGATGAAGCTAGAATGATGGGCAAAGCAAAAGAAACATGGAAGGGAGAAGAGGCATAGGAGTAAGTAAGGAAATCAGTAAAGCGGGGTGGGGGGGGCGCCCACTTGGTCAGTGTCTTCCCTTAAGACCTCCACTGAGAGAAAAGTACATGGCAAGTGTGTGGTAGGTCTAGGAGTCATAGATGGGGGAGGATAACAGACAAAGATTTGAGTCACTGAGTTAAGGTTTAAAACCTCAGCAGAAAACTCCCCTGGTGGTCCAGTGGTTAAAAATCCACCTGCCAATGCAGGGGACACAAGTTTGATCCCTGGCCCGGGAAGATTCCACATGCCACGGGGCAACTAAGCCTGTGCACAACTACTGAGCCCATACTCTAGGGCCGGTGACTGCAACTACTGAAACCCATGCCCTCGAGCGCGTGCTCCACAGCTCCACAGCAAGAGAAGCTACCGCAATGAGAAGCCTTCACACTCCAACAAGAAGGTAGCCCCCACTCTCCACAACTAGAGAAAGCCCGTGCACAGCAACAAAGACCCAGTGACACCAAAAATAAGTAAGTAAAAATGAAAAAAAATAAAATAAAACCCCCGCAGAGAACAAACTTGAACACCCAAGAAACCAGCCATAACATTTTTTATGCTTTGCTGACATATTTATTGATATATTTCCCCTTTACAGTTGATGGTGACAAAAAGCAGATGGAGCCCCACCCTACCCACCCACCCAATAAAATACAGACACAGATTTCATTCAGCATATACAAGCATTGGGGCGTGTCTAAATTCACCTCACTGGGTTACTAGAGCCAGGAGAGATTAGATCTTTGGGGCAGTCTGAGCACCTGAGGCCCAGGAATTGAGCAGGCCAATGCTGAAGAGAGGCTGCCACTCTGGGCCCTGCCACTGGGGTGCCAGCAGAGGCTATAGAATCAAATCATGGTGGAAAGAGCTGCCTAGCCCTGTCACGTGACAGTGGGCTCCTGGGTAGTTTCCAGTGAGATCCACAGTCCCATAGAAATCTGTGCCTCAGGGTTCTCATCTGCAAAATGGGGATAAGAATCCTGCCCTGAATATATCACTGGGCTATGAGGCTCAAAATAGAAATAATTTGTCAAAAGTGTTTTTGCAAAAGGTAAAGTGCTGTACAAATTTAAGGGAATTCAATTGATTGATTGTGATTGTCAGAGTGCCCCCAGAAATAGGAGTGGACCTGCTCACAGGTCCAGGGGCCAAGGAAGTGGCAGAACTCCTATGCTGTGCCTCGACTGGGCACCAATCAATGCGGGTAATGCCCACTGCAGAGAGCAGAATTCCCTTAGTTTCTTGGCCCCGGGAAGTCACCATGGCCTAGCACCTGGGTTGGGGCTGGGAAAGTCACCGGGGAAGTCACCGAAAAGTCACAGGGGTCAAGGGGGAGGAAGAAAGGGGCATACAAAGCAGGGGTCATTACTATCATCACACACAAAAATAGACACCCACTGGATGCAAGGCATTGAACTGGTGGTACAGATGAGCAATGAAGGCCTGCGGGGAGGGAAGAGGGAGGTGTCACAGCAGCAGAGGGAGGGGTACTGTCCTCACTTGCTGGCTTCCCTTTCCTCCTAAAGGAATCACACCAGTGCCCATCTATCTGCAGGGGAAGGGAGGGCAGGGAGACAAGAGTCAAGAATATAATCATCGGACCGAGGACGGAGATCCCCTCCCCGTTACACTGCTGCCCGGCATCATTAGGAGGTGCCAGGATTAGGCAAGCAGCTGGTGTGTGCACTTTGAGGCTGAGGCCAGAGCGAGGCCCAGAGCACCACAAAGGCAGTGCTGGGTTTCTGGGAAAAGGCAGTGGGTGTTAGCCCTTTGGGGAGATGGCTAATCCGCTCACACATGGACACCATCTTAGGGAGCTGGTCGCTGAGTCTACGTTTCGAAGCCTGAGTGTCACACATGCCCTGGGAAGAACAGAGATGGGGCCATTCTACTTGGGATGGGCCACTGAGGAGATTTGGTGAATGGGCCAGGTGGGGTGCGACTGGCAAGGAGCAATGCCCTGCCAGCTGCCGGCTGGGGAAGGGGAAGGAAAAACATTCTCTGGTTGCTGCTTTCCTCCAACTCCCTTAGCAAAGGCTGTGGGACCTCCTGGGGAACTGGGGAGGCTGCCCCACAGGGTACCAGCTGGCACCTACAGGTTAAGGCAAACAAGCCAATAGATCACATTGAAGAAGAAGAAGGTGACCGGGAAAATCACTCGCGAGTAGTTATCCAAGCGGTAGACATGGATGAAGAGGCGGCCCTGCTGCCAGCTGCTGGCGTCACAAGTGGGGACCATGCAACAGTACTTATCGCACCACCTGCTGCAGCCAGCAGAGCGCCGGGGGCGGCTTGGCCTGGTGGCCTGCCGGGCTGGGCAGGATGGGCCTTCGTCTTCCTCACTCTCCCCCGCCTCCTCCTCCTCGGAGTCCTCAATGTCGCACACGAAAGCTTCCGGATGCTCAATGACAGGGATGCGGACACGGATCGGAGCACGAGACTGAAAGGAAGGAGCAAAGAAGTCAGAACGAGTCAAGGGAAGATGAATCAAGCCCAGGTGCTGTCTCAAGGATTCCCAAGGACTCAGTGCTTGGTACCCTGTTTCTTTCTCCACACCCCCCACCCCAGAATTTCCACCATCACACCCAAAAATTTACCCAATGCCCCCAAAGCCCCAGGTTACCCCTCATTACTTGGTGAGCTGGCCACCCACGTGTCATGAGTGCCAGTGCCCTACTTGCATGCCTCCGTCCTCCAAAGCCTTGCCACCACTCCCATACCAGCTCATACATGGCGAAGTATGGGAGAACCACGGGGCGCCGTCCGGTTGTAGGTCAGGAAGTTGAGCACAGCAAACTCCATCAGAGCACAAAAGCAGAAGACGAAGCAGATAGCGATGTAGAAATCTAAGGCTGTGATATAGGATACGCGTGGGAAATTCTTCCGAGAGAAGGTGCCCAAAGTGGTCATGGTGAGTACAGAGGTGATCCCTGTGAAAGGAGATGAGTGGAGGTGGACAGCACCACTAGCTTATATATTACACTTTGGAAAGGCCCTCGGAAAAGGCAATTCTGTGCCTCAAGGAGATGCCTACTTCATCCACTTACCTAGAGAAGTCCTGGCTGGAGCAGATTCTTTCTTGATCCAAAAGGAAATCCAGGAGACCATTGTGGTTACAGAGGAAGGAACATAGTTATGAAAGGCCACAAAGCCAAACCGCCTGCTCACGTTGAAGTAAAGCGTCATGACTACGAAATCACCTGGAAGATATTTAAAAAATACCTCCTCACTACAGCACTGCCACGAGGGTGTCCCACATGCAGAAGGACATGCATACTAAGGGCCCAATAGGGGCTCATGGGATGCCCACCATGGTCCTCAGACAGAGGCACATTAAGGCAATGCCACACACATAGACACAGAGGAAGCCTGAGAGGAGACTCACTGCCAGGCCCATGGTCAGTTAAGAGTCAAGCCAGGGCTAGAACCTTCATCACTTATTTCTCAGTTCACTATGAACTGAGTCACACACCCCACATCCATATTTCCAGGATAGGGAGCAGAATAGTCAAGTGAAGACAATAAAATCAGTTAGCCCTCTAGATATCAGAACCACATGGCTAATTTCCAGGTGGCTGACTGAGGCCTCCACGTCCACACCCTACTCTAAGCTAACCCTATCTACTCAGCTTCCTTGAGATAATGCGGATATTTATACCAATATTTGAACCCTGGACTCCTGTTCTTAGTCTATTACCCTAGCCCAAAATGAGTGTTTCAAGAAAATAGAAGAATTAGCTGAAAGTGAAAATTTCAGTCAGTCCTCTAGATGTTAGGTCTGCAGAACATACATCCACAAGGCTGACTGAGGTTTTCGCATTCATTGGGTATCGTGTCCTTGATGTTGGCTCTCAGCCTAGGCAGTGATGGTTTGTGCAGGACCTGAGGACAGCCTCTATCTCCACTTGACATCTTCTATTGGATCCTTCATGCTGCCTTATACTCTGACATGCCCAAACACTGCATGCTTATCATGACCCCCAGGGATTCTGGAGGTCTTTCTGAAGCCAGAATATCTCTTTTCACTCTCAACATCATGTTGGGTTTACAATAGTTCAAATTCTGGCTCCTCAGGGAAACTAAGCTCCAACTCTCCACTTCAGTGATGCTATAGAATTCACTGGCCTTATTAGGTGGGTTTTTAAACCCCTTTAGGGCAGGTCTCATCTGAGCCCCGTTGCTACATTCCTGCCCATTCCAGCCCAGCACAGCCTAGAACCCAGCAGATGCACAGCAACTCTTGCTGTTGCCTGGGAACAGTTATGTAAAGTAGACCAGAACACTAACCTGTCCATGTGTCCTCCTATTTTAGAAAATAGATCACCTGCCCAGCAAGTCTGGGTATGTTGGGACTGAATGGGAAGACAAGCCTTTCCTACTCACCTTGGCAGCACTGACACTCAAGGGGCAAGACTTCTCAGAATCTTCTGGAAAAGGCCAGGAAGTTGCCTGGGGCCAGCTGAATACCTGTGTCCAGAATAGCAGCTTTGCGGATTGAACTCCTCTGGGGCTGCTGCAGGGACCACTCATCCTTACCTACTAGCCAGAATGTTATTTATCAAGATCCTAGCTCCTTGTCCTGTGGTCTTGACTACAATTAAAATGGCCCTATTCAGCTATAGCCACTCTGCACAAAACTTTGCTGAGTTGATATATTCTTGTTGCAATAAGATTGATTATCCTATCGGCTTTTTCTATTTTTATTTTGTCTATTTCACCAAAGAAGAACCTTCTCTACTTTTCAACAGATGGGAACTTATCCTTTAAGGCCAAATGAAGGTACTAACACACGCTCTCTTATTTCTGAGGAATGGAGGAGCATGGGTAAGGGAAAAAAGATATCTGGGGCTGAGGAGCCAGAGGGGGAGAAAAGCTATAAAGATGCTTCCTGCTCCTATCTGCCTCAACCAGAGCATAGTTGGTCACTGCACTGTCAGAGGAACACAATGGAAAAGACCGTGTCCAGGGGACTGAGACTAGAAGGATGAGTGGAGCCAAAGCTTTGAAGAACAAAGGGGAGGAAAAAGAACTACAGCTGTATAGTCTATAAAAGAATACGATCCAGGGTTGGAACCATAATACTGGCTCTTTGATCTTGACCCTGTGGAAGATTGTCTAGATTTATTGTAAGCTCAGTAGTTCTAGGCAAAAAGAACTAAGTCTAACGGGTGGAAGTTCCAGAGATTTCAATTTCAGATGAACAGAGAGGTTTTTCCGATGAACAGAGTTGTCTAGCGAAGGAAGAAACTCCCTTGCAAGCAAAATGCTAATCATTGGTGAATTCTGTATCAAAGGCTCAACAGCTAGCAGTGAAAGATGTCTCACTCACTGGGGGTAAGGCTCCTGAAACAGAGATTCTCTGGTTGAAGGCCCAAGGTGGCCAGAATACCAAGCTAGCACTGCATTCTGAACCCTTAGGAGCTTAGGACCTAAGTCTACTCCAGACAGAGTGAACTGCCCAGGGATTGACTGAAAGAGTTGGGACTAGTCCCAATGATAACTATGATACTGAAGAAACCATGATTCAAGATCAACTCATCTGTCACAGAAGATAAAGGAGGGCTTCTCCTTTCTCTCATGAACTCTCCTCTCTTCCAAGGAGGGTGGGGTGCTTACCTATTGTCATTGGTGATGATACTGCCTCTGGGGCTTTGTAGTCACTAGGGTACCATTTTGAAACAATGTACAACCATCTACTAAACGGAACCACTAGTGACTTGAAAGCCCGTGGGCCTTGTCTCCTGCTGCTTTTGATGATGGATCCCCACCTGTCTCGGGAAACCAAGGTGCAGAAAGGTAAGAGGCATGCCAATGGTCAGCTGGCAGAAGAGCAAGGGTCCCAAGTCAAAGGGAGTAAAATTGCTTACCCAGAGCCCCCGAGAAAAAGGAAAGTACTTGTAAAACAGCCTTCTACCCATGTCTAGTACTGTGCAAGCAAAGCTCTAGCCAGATGAGCATGGACTATTCCTCACCCAGCGACCAACTCAACGAGTAAAGCAAAAGCAGATTTTCCGCCTAGCCACATGGAAGCCAAGCAAGATGCCTTCCATGGCAAATGGCTGACTGGGTGACTGGTTCCATCCGCAGGCTGGAAACGATGAGGGCAGAGCCGCCACTGCCCTGACTGGTCAGTATGTGTGAAAAGGCTACTCCCGGAGCAGCCCCAGGGAGGCCCCTTGGCTCCTCATTCAGATCACCTAGGAACACAAGCAAAGACACTCACATCTGATTGGGAGCTAAAGTATGAGAGACCCAGGACCCTCCCCTTTAGTCCTTGTGAGGGACAAGGTCAGAAAACCAATGATCACCATCCAAGTTGAATCCACCACGAAGCCTTTGATGGGAATCTGTGCGTGTCAGGGCTGCTCCTTTAAAAGAAATGTTGATATGGCAGGTATTGTAGCTGCTGAAACCTCTTCCAGATTATCCCAGCTCTTACATAGCTGATGACAGAACTTCAGCCTCCACCTCCCATCAGGACAGACTGAATCCCACTCAACTGGAACCACTTGGATTGCTCTGAATATGGAGAACTCACATGACCTCCATTTCCCCAAGTGTCCAAGTAGGTCAGTTGTAACAAAGTGCTGGAAACCAAAAGGTCTGCATGACAAGGCTAGTTGCAAATTCTGACAGCAACAAAACTTTATCTACTCACCTACCCTCTCCGGGGCTTGGCAAAGCACTTACTTCTTTGCAGATGAGACTGAGATATAGTTACAAAGTCTCAGTTTCCTCTGCAAACAGTTGTAAGAGCTTAGCATTTATAAGACAGGAGCCATGTTATATTGTCATGGAATGAGTACATAGCATTTGGATGAATGGATGGCCACCTTCAGTCATCCTTACCACCCCTCCTGGGCCTCTGGCTAGCCCTGGCTCAAAGGTGCACTTACCAGCCAGGGTTGTGACAGTTTCAGTCGTGTTGCTCACTCCTGTAAAGTCAAACTGGAAGAGCTTCCAGGAATTACTCTCATTGATTTTAAGTGTGAAATTTTCCCACTCGTAGATTAGGTCATTCTCAGGATAGGAAACTGTAAGGCAACGTGGGGAGACGAGTCATGTGAGACTGGGAAGCCGAGCTGAGGCCTCCAACAGCATGGTGTCTGAGCAATGCCCTGGAGTCCTGACTCTGGCTTCACCAGCTGTGGGGCCTTACTTCTCTTACCTCATTATTGAAGTCCATCCAGTAAGTGCATTCACTTAGCATTCCTCAATACCACGCCCTGTGCTAGACACACAGAGATGAGCAAGGCAGGAGCCCTGCCTTCAAGCATTCACATTTTATTGAATAAGACAGTGAGTATACATCTGTAATTGTTGGAATTCCTCTGAGAAACCCTGGCCCGTCGGACAGTGGGGAAACAAAGGAGGGAAAGATCAGTTGGGGACACACCCAGAAAAGACGATTCCATAGAGTGGGTGACATGCTCAGTAAGTCTTAAAAGTCCAGTATAAATATTCTCTGTACAGATGAGGCTGAAAGGGTAAGGAGTGTGTTCTTTGCACAGGAAGGTGAAAATGTCTGATGTATTATGGAAACGTTAAAAGTTCAGGACGGCTGGCTCACAGAAGATGGATGAGGTATGCAGGCGTGGATAGCAGGGGCCAGTTCATGAAGGGCCTTGAGTGCTATTTTAAGCAATTTGGAATTGATTCGAGAGTTCAGGAAGGATTTGAAACTAAGGAGTAACCTAGTCTAGATGATTCTTCCACTAGGTCACTCTAGCTCTTATATGAGGATGGCCTGTTGACAGGGAGACCAGTTATGGGAGCCCAATGCAATAACTCAGGCACAATAAAATGAACAAAGGCAGGAGTCAAAGCTGTGGCAGAGAGAATGCAGAGAAATAAGATCAATAGAGATTCTGGAGGGAACACCAACAGGATGTGTTGACTGGATAGATGTAGGAGGTGAAGAAGAAAGAAGCATCAAAGTTCTTGGCTTTGAAAACTGAGTGGTTGGTGATGCCTTTCAATGAGACAGATGGGAACACAGAAGCAATGCATTTGTTTTGAGGGTAGAGGTTGGGAGGAGACCGTGTATTTAGTGTTGGACATGGTCAGCTTCAAAGTGCATATGTTGCAAAGTCCAAGTGGAAGATGACAAAGACCTAAACCAAGGCAGTAGTGACAGTGAAGATGGAGAGCAGACGTACTTGAGATACACTTTAGAGGCGGGTGGCTGATTTGAAATGGGGTGGAAAGGAGAAGGAAGAAGCCAACATGAAGCCCAGGTTAAGCAACACAGCATTGTCAGCAGGAAAGGAGATGAGGACGGACTGGGAGGCCCTGGGCAACCTTGGTACCATCTTAAGGGAAAAAAACAAAGGCAGAAAAATGTAAGGGGCAAGGATGAGAAGAAGAAGGGGCCCAGTGTGATGACTCTGGGGTCCCAGAAACCTAAGAAGGTACTCACAGCTAGAGAAAGACAGAGGGCAAGAGTGAGAGTCCATTGGAAATTTGAGCATGTGGAGTGAGCATCCAGCCTCAATGGTCATCCTGGAAGGGAGAAAGGAGCCTCATTAGGCTGGCCCTGAACACTTAGGTATCCACCCAGCTTGGGCCTGGGGACCACCACCAATGAGTGGCAATGGTGGGATTTGAGACAAAGAGCTCAAAGGAGAGACAAAAAGAGTGGAAGAACAGCTTGGAAGTGTCTGGTTACTCTGGCCTCCATCATCAGAGAAATGTATGGACCAGCTTAGATGGGCTTATGTTTCTTGCCCATCCCAGCTTCAAGGACTTTCCAACACTCTCCCACTGTTTACCACCTCCCTGGCCCCATATCACCCAGATATCAGTCCCAGCTATGCCACAAACTTGGGCTGTGGCCTTAAGCAATATCTTCTTATTCTGAGGCTTTAGTATGTATGTCTATACACCAAGGGATTGAGCTCATGGTCTGGGAAAGCTGAAGGGGCCCTTAGAAGTATCCTTTAGGATGAAACCTCAGTCCATGTTTCTTTGGCAAAAATTCTCAGAAGGGGAAGAAGAGTCACAGGAGGCAAGGCTCCGGAAGCTTGACATACCTGATGGTGTACAACACCTTGCCGTCCTTGTGGATGCGGACCATCTGGTTGGGCATGGTGATTGAGTGCTCATGGGTCCTCTTAGAATTCCGGAAAAAGGTGTCTGGGACCCACAGCAGGCTCACCAAGTGGCCACTCAGAACGAAGCTCTCAAAGCTGCCATTGAAACGAAGGCGTTCGTCATACCAAGTCTGGCAGAAGGTGATGTCAATGGTGTATTCCTGGTGGCAAGGATAGAAAAGCACACATTTGGGGCTGTGCAGACAAAGAACATTCCTGCGCCATCTTGTGATGGCCCTATCTAGTAGACAGGAGCCCACTTAGGTTTCCACAGAGGAAAACAGCATGGGTTTGGCTGAAGGACATTCTCTATTTCCATGTATTCCAGAAAGGAAAAAAAATTCCCAAATGAATAGCAATCTGGGAAGACACATTTAACCTAGAAACAGACAGACAATGGTGGCTTAATTGTAAAGACTGGGCTCATCAGGTTGATACTCCCCTGTAGGACTATGATGCTAAGTCAGGCTAACACCATCTGGGCTCCCACATTTCCACAGCAAATCAGAGATGTCAGGTCAAAATCATTCTAAACATTTGTAAACATATGCACCTTTGATTGCATACAATGAAGTTGTCCCTTTCAGCTTTTATTTGGGGAGCACAGATGTTAATTAACCCATAAGTATTTGGTCTCTAGATATGGTCTATCACATAAATTGTTAAATATCAAAAAAAAAGGTTTAAGAGGAAGAAGTATGAGAAGCTAGAAATCTGCACCACTGGTATTGAAAGGAGGAAAACAAAAAGACTATAATAGATCTGCAAGCAGCTTGAACAGCAAGTACTAGAACAAGGCCAAGGTACAACCTTTAGGGCTAGTTCAATCTCCTTTACTTTAGAGGTCAGAGAGAAAGGAGTCTGTTCGAAATCAAACAAATAGTTAATGGGAACATACTGGCTCTGATGCTCAGAGCACCACTGCCATGGCCCTGCCCTGGGACCACCTCCACCTGCCTTACTCTCCAAGGCTTACTCCACTTGTTCCAAGAATCCCTTTGGGGGTCAAGGTCAAGTTTTCCTCTGCAGGACCCCTAAGCCTTTCCTGTGAGTTTTTCCTGCATCAAATAATGAACACCACCAACCAGAAACCCACAACGAGGAGGCCTGTAGAGCCCTCGAGGTTAGGGAGCAGAGGTCAAGGCATCTCTGCTTGCCTTTGCTGCTCAGGACTCAAGGTGGTGAGAGCCACTGCCCAACTACAGGGAGCCAGCCCCCCAAGGCTGAGAATGTTCCCTGGAGGAGTCCAGAGAATCACACAGGAAAAAGCCTGGCTACCATTCACATGCAGAGCCCCTGGCCCTGCCCTGCCAAGCCACACCAGCCCTCACGAGTGGCCTTCAGGGTGGCTCTGCACTCCTGCGTGGCTGGCAGCTCCAAACCGGCCTGCAGAACTGCTGGGTAACCAGAGGAAGCCTCCCCACTACGGTGCACACTTGCTCCTGTGATATACTCTCGGGTTTCAAATAAGCATTTCATTTCCATTTAACCGGATTCCAACTGTAAGTTCAGGACACACTAATTGATAACTAACGGTTCACTTTTCCCCATCTGACAAGGGGGCTTGTTTTCTCTCCCTGAGGACAAATCCTATGCTCTCCACAACCTTTGATTTATGACTGAAGGGTATTGGAACTCCTCCTCACCAAGCACCACATTCTACAGTATCACCGGAGAAAAACAGGCTATGTACAGGGACTGGGACCTTCCATAGCTTTAAAGAACTATGGGGAACTATGCAGACGGCCAGACTTCTCTTGGAAATTTAATACCACGAGTGTTCGGAATCTTCTAAAGGCACTTGGCCCAGGCTAAAGTAATATGTTACCAGCCAAAGAAAATCAAGTTGTTGGCTCCCCTTTGGACCAGTTCTGTGCTACATTCCAGGTTTGGTAAGGGCTGGGTCATTAAACTGTATCCCTCAGGCTTGTCAGGTAGCAGTCCTCCCCGTGAGACTAGTGCTGCCAACAAGAGTAGGAACACAGCAAAGGCTCTTGCAGATGTTAGAAACAGATTTCCCCAAATTACATCTTACACACATAACAAGAGGTGGTAGCCACAGATTTTCTACTACTCTTTAGGCCACTTTCACCATGCTCTCACCAATGATCTGAAAGGTGCCTTTCTTATTAAGAGTAAATGGTGGCTATGATGGTGGGACCAGAGGACCTCAACCTCTGGCTCAAAACCCAGTATTTCTTGGTTTATCAACAATTTTAGTCAAACTAATTGCTAAATTCATACTCATTTTAGTGGTAAGCACATTGATGACAGCAAAGAATAAATCTGATATCAAGGGAAGAGGGGAAAATAGCTTTAAAATGTCAACAGAAACTCAAAAAGATCTGACTGCTCTCACATTTCTCTTCTTCCTTCTTACTTCCCCAAAGTTTGTGGCTTCAATTGTGAGCACTTTTTCTCCTGCTCTTGTTCGCTCTGAGGGAAGTCATCCACCTCACATGAGCTGCCCTGTGGGGAGGCCCACATGGCAAGGAATGTGGAAAGCCTAGAGACAGTAGCCAGAGAACTAAGCCCTGCCAACAACTACATGAGAACTTAGAAGTGGACCCTCCCTTAGTCAAGACTTCAGATGACACCCCAGTCCCAACTGACACCTTAACTGCAGCCTTGGGAGACCCTGAAACAGAGAACCCAGCTAAATCATGCCTGGATTCCTAACCCACATGATTATTTGTCATTTTAAGATACTATGCTTTGAGGTTAATTTTTGCACGAGTGAGTGAATGAGTAAAGTCGCTCAGTTGTGTCTGACTCTTTGTGACTCCATGTACCATAGCCTACCACGCTCCTCCATCCATGGGATTCTCCAGGCAAGAGTGGGTTGCCATTTCCTTCTCCAGAGGATCTTCCCAACCCAGGGATCAAACCCGGGTCTCCCACATTGTAGGCAGACGCTTTACCTTCTGAGCCACCAGGGAAGTCCTATTTTTTGCATAGCCAATATATAAGTATGTTGTGCCCCAAATATCAGGCAGTCAAACAAAGCATCACAGTGGGGAACCCCACTCTTGCATTCAGCCTATGTAAACACCTTGAGCTTCCATGAGTGTTTACTTACCTTTGAGTGTGTATCTGCAAGTACCATCTCAGAGCCTAGACGCTTAGCTCACCCAGTCACATGGTGCTTGTTGGGTACCAGAGTGTATGCTAAAACTGTGTCTGCCCTGGGCTAGGCCGAGGCTATGGCTGTGATGGAGTTGGTTACTCCAGTCTTCCTCATTATTAGGCTCCACAGATGAAAGTGACATTTGCAAAACATCTTTTATAATTAATTTGCTTAGCTAACGTATACTGGGTCCTTAACATCAAGGAACCCATAGTTGAGAGAGCAAGGCAGACACAGAGTACATAATTACAATACAATGAGGTAGAAAAGTTCTGGTAAACAACTGTGATATACGCTAGAAAGGTCTGAGAGTCAGAGAAAGGAGTGTGTTGTGAGTAAAAACGGAGCAATTAATAGCTGTAGAAGTCAGGGAAGATGCCGTGAAAGAGATGTCATTAGAGTTAAATCTTGAAGGATAAGGTGAAAAATTGGAAAAATGTCATCCCAAAGTGGAAATCACTTGAACAAAGGCTCAGAAGTACAAGATAGCCTGGGAACACCATACGCTAGTGTGACTGGTGCATGTGGTCTCTAAAGGAGTGAAAAAAAAATAAAACTAGAGCCCTGGGTTGGCTGCCGACATGGAGAGCCTTGGCTGCTAGAGTGTGGGGTTGAATTTCATGCTATAAGCAGGGCTGGGACTACGGGAGGCATGTCACACAGGAGGCTGGGTTAGTAGGTGGACTGGGGCAGGCAGAAACCTTGCATTTTGTATATATCAAGTAGGAGCTCATGGGGGCTAACTGGGGACAGCAGTGATAGTAGGATGACAACAGTAGTAGCAAAGGAGATAAGAAACTAGGGCAGAATTAGAGAAGCAGTCCTAGAGCAACAGTTAGTAACTATAGGATTAAGTCCATAAAAATCATTATCAGAAGAAAAGAGCCATTCCACTGTATTGTTTAAAGTTGCTTTATTATTTTTATTTTGAATGAAATACTGGAAGATACAGTCAAGATTCTGAAGGTCCTGTTCAGGCAGCAAGAAACTTACCTCTTTCAGTCTCCTTCTCAAGTCCTTGTCGATTAAAATCCCCTCTCCCCCCCCAAAAAAACCTCTTTTGTTACAGACACAGAAAAACCAAGCACTTGAAAAGCCTCATGGGTCAGCTCCCTAGACTAGAAGATACTATAAATCAAAGCTCAGTACTCACCATGTCCATGATAGAGAGAGGCCCAAGGGTGTTGACAGACAGTTCAACAGTGACCACAGTGGGTCTCTCTGTAAAGTAAGCAGAAGTGGCAGAGGTAAGTGTCAAATAGAAGTGTGGGGCAAGGGAGGGTGTGGTCAGCGGTGAATAAAGGAGGTAAGGGTTGGACTACATGGTTTCAAGATCTGATACCATTTCTTTCTTTCTTCTCTCATGAAATGGCCCAATTTATAGACTGTTAAGAGCTGGACATACCTCAAAGGTCAATCATCTAGTCCAGTAATCCCATTTTATAGTTGGAAAAACTGAGGGTGAGAGAAGGGAAAAGTCTAGACCAAAGTCAATGGCGTTGCTGAGAACAGCACTGACATCTGTTACTTGCTACGTCAGCGACAGCTATTCCTGCCCACATGCAGGGCACCACCACCTACACCCCAGGCCCATTCTCCACACTTAAGCCCTCAACCCTCCTCCCCTCTGGGGCCTGGGAGATATATGTCCTGCTACTCACCTCCAATGCCAGGGCGCAGTTTGTAGTCATAGTTATGGAAGATGCCATCCAGGATTTCCGTGGCTGTTGGCATTTTGCCAAGTTTCTCATGGGTACCAACAGCAGTGGGCTTTATTTCTTCAGAGGAGAGTTCCTTTTCAGAAGGCTGGGGCTTTGGGCCATAGACCTCATCATCACTGGCAGAAGATCCCTCCACTGATTCAACTTGAGGTCCTTCAATGCTAGAACATAAAAAGAAACAAGTGAACCTCCGTCCTCCACTCTGAGGGGGCCCAGCTGGTGCCTCCTGGGACAGAGTGAATAAGTTGGCAACCCAGAGCACAGTTAAAGAGTACCTGGTAACAGTAAATCAAGAGCCAGATTATTCTTGTTAACTTCTTCTAAAACTTGCTGCTCTCCATCGGAACGTCCCATGCTATCCATCTTTAATGGTCATTCTTTATTCAACAAAAATCAGTAACAAAAGCAAGTTCGATATTTTAAAATAATTTTTCGAAGTAAAAGCAAGAGGATGTGGGTATATGAACTCTAGCCAATCAGCTGCCATTACTAGTCTTGGTCTCCAGTCTGCCTGACCAGTGCCACCTGGGAGCAAACGGGCAGGCAAAGGGCCAGGGCTGTGAGGAATGCTCTGGAAAGCCAGAGCACTCTCTCCCAGAGAGGATCAGAACACTGTATGTCTTTGCTTTAGTGATACTCTACTACATTGGAGCTGGGGGCCAGGGATGGGGGAAGCTCTGAGCACTGAGAGAAAATAAAGATTATCATTTAGGAAAGAGATGATCAACAAGAATCCAACCTGAGTGCCACAGCCGAAATATTACACAAAGAATTGAACTTAAAAATTTTAAAAACTTAAAAAAGCCACCTGAAAATGTATAAAACACATGAGATATGGTGTTAGAAATCAGAGTCATGCTTCCTTTGCTGGAAGGCAGTGAGGGAGGGGGCACCAGGCAGCTTGAGGTTCTGGTCATATTCCACTCCCTGATGTGGGTGTTTTGATATCAGTGTGAATCATTTTTGGACAACTTGTCAGCCGTGCACTTATGGTTTGAGCACTTTTCTGTGTATATGTTCTAATTTTTTTAAAAAGCATTTTGAAAAATTAAAATACTAATAAAAGTCTGTTAATATATGGACCTTATATGAACCCTGATTTTAAAGGGCAAACCATAAAAAACAAAACAAACACAACACAGCACAACACAACAAAAAAACATTTATGATACAATAAGGGAGATTTGAATATTGACTGGTTAGTTTCTTCAGTGTGAAAACATTCTAAACATTTTTGGTGTAATAGTGGTATTTTATTCTGTTTTTGAAGTCCTTACAACTAGAAATACATACTAAAATAGTTACATATGAAATGATATGATGTCTGAGATTTGCTTTAAAAGAATTTAAGCTGGAAATAAAGAGTGGGTGGGATACATAGAAAATAAGAGTGCCTATGAGCTGATAATTAATGAGGCTGGTGATGGGTACATGGAGATTCACTCTACTGTTCTCTGTACTTTTCTATGTCTTTGAAAAAATTTATAATTAAAAGCTTTTTCAAAAGCCATCATCAAAATTAATCTGTGATGTTGGAAGGCAGGAGAGTGTTTTCCTTTGGGGAAGAGGGTGTATTTGGAGCGGGCAGAGTGGTGAAGCTGGTGGGGGTGGGGGAGGGGACAGGCAACTTTCTGTTTCCTGGTCTAGGTGCTGGTTAAATGGGCATGTTTCCTTTGTGAAAATCCACTCCTGGTTTCTACACTCTTATATCTCAGTTACACTTACAAAATTATTTTATAGTTTACAAAATCAATTAGACAACTTGCTCCCTCAAAGAAGGGGTTAACAGGGCAGGAGATGTGGGTATGGCCTCTGTACTGCAGACCAAGGGAAGGCCAACTTGAGCAGCACAATGCATGCTCCCGCAGTATTTCAAACTCTAAGAATTGCTTAGTTGGCGTCCAGATGTGCCAAGTTGATGCCATTTCTCATGTCTGAGGTGGCTAATTCCCACTGTGGGCAAGGGAAGAACTGGGCTTGGGGAAAGCAATTTCCATTACTAATAGCATATCCAGAGATGCCCTCTTTCCCTGAGGCTCTTTCCTCTGTCCTCTGAATAGATCATGCCAGCCTCCGTGGGGCAGGGGGATGGAGAAATAGGGGACTGCAAAATTCGTGACTTGACTGGGAGCATGGCATGATCAGGACTGTTAGCCAAGAGCCTGCCATGACCCCTCCCAGAAGTCCACAGCCAAGCAGAATCCCTGAGTTTCGAGGGGCAAACAAACAAACAAGCAAAGGCCCAAAGACCCACTGCCTCTCTGGTCCCAGAATATGTCTGCCATAAAAATGAGATCAGAGGGTCTTGGGGCTGCTGTCATCTGACAAATTGCTTTTTCCAGTAAAAAATTTCAAACAAATCAAAAAGCCCCATCATCCTGGGATCATGGGGTTAAGAAGCTGCTGACAATGTGTATACCTTTCCTCAGCTCACCATTAAGCCAACTTTCACGGCTAGAAATAATAAAAACATGAAAAACACTCATGCACAGGACTAGTGTGGATCTTCCCATGGGGCTTTTCAGGCATCCACATCCCTCTTGATGCGATGGTCCAAGATGGAGCTGAATTTCTGCAACCCCTCCCCCACAGAGAATGCTCAGGCAGCTGACTGGGGAAAGGGAAGAGAATATGAGAAGGGCCACTGGACTGCTTTTCTTTTCCCCATATGACTCTTCTTTTTCAAAACCTTACAGATGGAGAAACTGAGGCCCAGATGGAGGAAGGAGTTGTGCCCGGTGTCATACAAGTGGTTTTAAGCTGAGCCTGGACTCGAGCTAGGTGGTTCAAGATGGCCCGTGCCAGCACACCCCACTGCCACCTCCCCAGCTCTTAATGACGTCACAGGTTACCATGTGGACAGTGCCTGAGCAGACAGTGTGAGTTACTGCAGTCCTTCCCCCTAGGCTGGAAGGGTAGTTTCCACCACAACAGCCCCTCTTCCCCGTTGGTTTCCTTTCTGCTCCCCTCCCCCCTTCTGCACTCCTATATCCCTCTTTTGCCCCAGTCACCATGTCAGCTCACCCAACTCGTCCAGTTCACATCTGGAAGGATGTGGATGACTGGAAATTCCTAGCACGCATTCAGAAATATTTATCAAGCCCCCTGATGAGGCCAGCCCCCCTTCTCACCAGGGCACCAATGAGCCAGCAACCAGCTACACAGCCCTGCCCCTGATGAGCTGAAGTTTTCTGGGGTGGGGAGAGAAGCCATCTCCCCAATGCTCCTCCCCAAAACAAAAAAGCAAGACAAGTCTAGTGGTGGACGCTTCTAGAAAGATCAGGAAGCTTAGGAACTTGTGACAGTTGGAGCTGAATGGAAAACCATCTAAAAAATGTGAAGCAGTCCTCTTTCACTCTCAAAAAACAGAGACGCAGGGGTCAACCTTCCTGGCAAAGTCCCAGGACCCCAGGAAGGTGTGAGGGAAGCCGGCTGCTCCAGGGAAAACCTGCTATTGGTCTTTGGAAGAGTGGGAGGGCTTGAAATGCAGGATCCAAAACCACAGACCTCCGAGATGACCATTCTTGACCCCTGGCTCCAGTCAGCCAAGACCCAGCAGGGCGTCTGGGGGCATTAGGGAGGAAGAGGGAATCCGGCGGTAGAGGGGGATGGGGTGGGAACTCTTGGACTAAACCAAGGCTCCTGCCTGGGACTGGCACCAAGAGGAGCGGCGGGAAGGGAAGCAAGTAAAGTCAGAGTTGTCTGGCACGGTGCCTGGTACTCACTAGGCGCTCAGAAAAGAGAGGAAAAACATTTTTTCGAATGAGAGAACACACTAGCCAACACTCAAACATTTTAAACGTAGTTTCTTCCCCCTGCCCGCACACCCCTCTGGGCGCCACGTTCCCAAAGTCCCCCCAGTCCCCAGAGGCGTGAACCTGCCCAGGCCGGTCACCTCTTCCCAGGGAAGGCTGGGAGGCGGAGGGGGGGGGGAGGGACCGATCGATCCCAGGCCGCTGCAGTGGTTTGGAAAGGGGGGTTCCGAGGGGGCAAAGGGCGGGGGCACGGGAGCGGCCAGGTGACAGGCGTCCCATCTTCCTTCCTGGGCGCCCCTTCAGGGGCCCGGGACTCCCATCCTGGGGAAGCGGGGCGAAGGCTGGCCGCGTGCGTCGAGCAGACGCGGGACCAGGGTAGATCGTGCGAGGGCCTGGGGCAGGCGGGGAGTGGGGCTCGAGGGGTGCGGGGGTCTCAGGAGCCGGCCTCACTCCAGGGGAGAGGGAGTGGGGCCTGGGCGGGGACTCCTGGGTCCAGGGCTGGAGACTCACCACGGAAGGGTTACCAGCGTGCCCAAGAGGATCAGAAGAACTTTGGTCGACATTGCGGCGGGGACCGGCGCGACCACCTGTGCGGAGGTCGCTGCGCGCGGTCTGGCCGCACTGAGCGCGGCGTGGAGGGTTTTGTCGGGCTCCAACTTTCACTCCTCCCACTCGCCCCGCCCCGCGCCCCCCAGCCTGGCTCCGCCCCCTAAGCCCCGATGGAAATCTCCGACGACGTGTACGCGGCTGCGGCAGAGGGAGGGGTGGCTCCGGCCAGGCGCGGGGAGGAGGAGGGAGACGAGGAAGAAGCCCGGTCGCCCAGGCCCCCCGCCCCCCACCGCCGCCGCTGCGGCGCTGCCAGACAGCCAGGGGCGGGGGACGTGGGGGAGGGAGGAGGAGGCGAGTCGGCGGTGCGCGGGCCCCAGGCAGGGAAACCGGCGGGCCGCCGCTGCGGCTGGGAGAAGGACTGCAGGCTGGGCCCGGCAGGGGCAAGATGCGGGTGCTGCGACCCCCGGCCCTGCCAGCCCACTGGTGCGCCACGGGATCGCACTGTGGCTTCCAGCCCTTGTCTTCCCGCACCCCTCGCCACCACCTGTTGCACCTCATCACTTTCCCAAGTCCCCTGGCCTCTGAGATTTCCCGCCACCCTCACTCCACACCTTCCAGCCCTTCAGAGCGCATTCCTGGGCGTCCAAAGGAACCTGGGTAACTTAGCACCTTCCTTGGCACAGTGGGAAAAAGAAAAGACTTGAGAGTCTCCCCAGGAAACTCTGATCTGAGTTAGTTACTATGTGGGCCATTTCCCCAGGTATTTGGGGTGGAGGAGGACCCACAACCAGAGGTCCAGGCCAAGGCATTCACTGGAGGACTTTGTCTGAACCCAAAGGAAACTGATGGCAATTTGGCTCCCAGTTCAGCGCCAGGGCCTGGGTGTGAGAGGGAGCACCTGGAGGAGGGGGAGGAGTTTGGAACCCCCCTTTCCCAGATTGATTGCCCCTATCTTTCCAGAGACTTGGCCCCTGGTGACCCCCAGAGGAAGTGAGAAGCACCTAGAGGTGGGGGGAACATCTCAAGTCTCTTTCAAGCATCCTTGGACTTTGTCTTTCTCACCTAGAAGCTCATGATTCACTTCAGAGGGGAAGAGATTGCAGAGGTTTGCCTGTGGAGCTGATGCCAAACACTAGCAGCATCCTCAGGTGTTGCTGTACAAGGGACTGTGAGCTCCTTGGACAGGCTTTGCCGTTGTTTTGCTCAGTGGCTAAGTCATGTCTGACTCTTTGCGACCCCGTGGACTGTAGCCCACCAGGCTCCTCTGTCCATGGAATTTTCCAGGCAAAAATACTGGAGTGGGTTGCTATTTCCTCCTCCAGGAGATATTCCCGACCCAGGGATCAACCCTGAGTCTCCTGCATTGGCAGGAGGATTCTTTACATCTAAGCCACTTGGGAAATCCTGGCTTTGCTGGCACATGCTAATCTAATACACTTTCTCCATCACCCCACCCCCATCTCATCATTATATTTTGTCATCTTCAAGACAGTGCTCACTAACTGATGATGTTCTTGGGCATTTGTTTATGAGTTTGTTTATGGAATGTTTCACCACTGGAGTAAGCTCAGTGCCAAAAAAAGAAAACCAAACCAAACCGTACAGAGTCTGTCTGGTTTTTCACCATATGCCTGAAACTTAAGATGGGTTTTGGGCACACAGTAGGCACCCAACAAAGATTTGTTACTGGCCTGTGTGCAGTTGTGTGTGTCTTAGTGCCACTGATTTCACTGCTATCTGCTCCCTCAGACTTTGCAAGAGAAAAGAGACTGTAGGATACATTCAGGCATCCTGTGTATATCCTCCCAGCCATGTGGCAGGGCTAGCCTCGTGGGCATGTGGTTTGTGCAGTGAGACAGCCCTGCACACAGAGGTGCCTCATGCTTTCATGCTTTGTCACTTTCTTGAAATTCTTAATAATTTTTGAACAAGTGGCCCTGCATTTTTATGTTTCCCCAGGGACCTGAAAGTTATGTAGTCACTCTTGCCCTAGGAAACGCTGGGCTGGATGAAGCACAAGCTGGAATCAAGAGTGCGGTGAGAAATAACAATAACCTCAGATATGCAGATGACACCACCCTTATGGCAGAAAGTGAAGAAGAACTAAAGAGCCTCTTGATGAAAGTAAAAGAGGAGAGTGAAAAAGTTGGCTAAAGTTCAACATTCAGAAAACTAAGATCATGGCATCTAGTCCCATCACTTCATGGCAAATAGATGGGGAAACAATGGAAACAGTGGCTGACTTTATTTTGGGGGGCTCCAAAATCACTGCAGATGGTGACGGCAGCCATGAAATTAAAAGACGCTTACTCCTTGGAAGGAAAGTTATGACCAAACCAGACAGCATATTAAAAAGTAGAGACATTATTTTGCCAACAAAGGTCCATCTAGTCAAGGCTGTGATTTTTCCAGTGGTTATGTATGGATGTGAGAGTTGGACTATATATAAAGCTGAGCACCAAAGAACTGATGATTTTGAACTGTGGTGTTGGAGAAGATTCTTGAAAGTCCCTTGGACTGCAAGGAGATCCAACCAATCCCTCCTAAAGGAGATCAGTCCTGGATGTTCATTGGAAGGACTGATGTTGAAGCTGAAACTCCAATATTTTGGCCACCTGATGCGAAGAGCTGGCTCATTGGAAAAGACCCTGATGTTGGGAAAGATTGAAGGCAGGAGGAGAAGGGGATGACAGAGGATGAGATGGTTAGGTGGCATCACCGACTCAATGCACATGAGTTTGAGTAAACTCCGGGAGTTGGTGATGGACAGGGAGGCCTGGCATGCTGTGGTTCATGGGGTCACAAAGAGTCAGACATGACCGAGCGACTGAACTAAACTGAACTGAACTTGCCCTACGAACACATGCTGCAGAGCAGGGAACAAGCAAGCACAGAGCATTCCTGAGCCTACTAGAAGGAGAAATCTGCCTTTCTGTTTAGCACCAGACTGCTGCAGAGAGACGTGATTTTGCACTGACTGTACCCAGCCGTGGACTCGAAATGTCTTCTATGCACGTCTTCCATATTTTTCTCTACTGACACTGGAGCTCCAAGAGACAGAGATTTCTCTGATTTACCTGGATTCCTGTGGGTTGAGAGCAGTGCCCCATTACTTAAAAATTGTATTTGCTGAATGAATGACTGAATCCAGGCACCAAAAGAGGCAGACGGTTCCAGCTTCCCATCAGACAACCCAGCCAGGGCACCTTTCTCTTCAAAGGACTGAGACTGTTGCACTTTACCATCCTCCTTATAAAGCTCATCCATTGGATGACTGCAAGGACCTTTGGACACTCTGGGATTCTCCAAGTATTTGCCATGTGTTGCTCTTTGCCAGGTCCTGGACTTGGTGATGATGGATATACAGCAAGGCCTCGAACACAGTCACATGTATTTCAAGAGAAGAGAGGGGATTTCTCTCAGAAATTACTAGTGCATGGTTCGGTTCACTTCAGTCACTCAGTCGTGTCTGACTCTTTGTGATCCCATAGACTGCAGCATACCATGCTTACTTGTCCATCACCAACTCCTGGAGCTTGCTCAAACTCATGTCCATCGAGTTGGTGATGCCATCCAAACATCTCATCCTCTGTCATCCCCTTCTCCTCCTGCCTTCAATCTTTCCCAGCATCAGGTCTTTTCCAATGAGTCAGTTCTTCACATCAGGTGGCCAAAGTATTGGAGTTTCAGCTTCAGCATCAGTCCTTCCAATGAATATTCAGGACTGATTTCCTTTAGGATTGACTAGTTTGATCTCCTTGCAGTTCAAGGGACTCTCAAGAATCTTCTATAACATCACAGTTCAAAAGCATCAATTCTTTGGTGCTCAGCTTTCTTATGGTCCAACTCTCACACTCATACATCACTACTGGAAAAATGATAGCTTTGACTAGACGGACCTTTGTCAGCAAAGTAAAGTCTCTGCTTTTTAATATGCTGGTTTCCCTAATAGCTCAGTTGGTAAAGAATCTGCCTGCAATGCAGGAAATCCCGGTTCAATCCTTGGGTTGGGAAGATCCCCTGGAGAAGGGATAGGCTACTCACTCCAGTATTCTTGGGCTTTCCTTATGGCTCAGCTGGTAAATAATCTACCTCCAATGCAGGAGACATGGGTTCGATCCCTGGGTTGGGAAGGTCCCCTGGAGAAGGGAAAGGCTACCCACTCCAGTATTCTGGCCTGGAGATTCAGACACAACTGAACGACTTTCACTCACTCATTCACTCTAGGTTGGTCATAGCTTTTCTTCCAGGGAGCAAGCATCTTTTAATTTCATGGCTGCAGTCACAATCTGAAGTGATTTTGGAGCCGAAGAAAGTAAAGTCTGTCACTGTTTTCATTGTTTGCCCATCTATTTGCCATAAAGTGATGGGACCAGATGCCATATCTTAGTTTTTTGAATGTTGAGTTTTAAGCCAGCTTTTTCACTCTTCTTTTTAGTTCCTCTTCACTTTTGCCGCAAGAGTGATGTCATCTACATATCTGAGGTTATTGATATTTCTCCCAGCAATCTTGATTCCAGCTTGTGCTTCATCCAGTCTGGCATTTCACATGATGTACTCTGCATATAAGTTAAATAAACAAGGTGACAATATACAGCCTTGAAGTACTCCTTTCCCAGTTTGGGACCAGTCTGTTTTTCCATATCCATTTCCAACTGTTGCTTCTTGACCTGCATACAGATTTCTCAGGAGGCAGGTAAGTTGGTCTGGTATTCCCATCTCTTGAAGAATTTTCCACAGTTTGTTGTGATCCACACAGTCAAAGGCTTTGGTGTGGTCAATAAGGCAGAAGTAGATGTTAATCTGGAACTGTTGCTTTTTCTATGATCCAACGGATGTTGGTGATTTGATCTCTGGTTCCTCTGCCTTTTCTAAATCTAGCTTGGACATCTGGAGGTTCTCAGTTCAAGTACTGTTGAAGCCTCGCCCCCACCCCCAAGTGCCATATTTCTTATGTATAAAATTGGAGATGCAATGCTTTCCAGTTTACATGGAATTTGTGAGGATTCAATGG